TCCCAGTCGGTATCAGTAAGGTCTTCAACCAACACGGGTGTGAGTGCGTGTGTGAGTGGGTTGAGTGTGGTGTGTGGGAGCGTGTTGGCTTTAGACACTACTGTTAGTCGATGGGGGTGGGGGAAGATGAATAGGGAGGCACAGTTACCGGCAAAATGCTCTGTCCTTGTGTTGGCTGGGCCCCCACCAAAGACCCCAACCCTGCACCCTAAAACGCTAGGGCAAGGGGCAAACATGCCCTTACCCCTCTCCAAAGACCGAGAGAGGTAACCTCCCTTCACCGAAGAGAGGTAGAAAGCTATGCTTGCAGGGGTCCCCTGTATAGCCTTAGGGGCTGTCTCTTATACACATCTAGATGTGTATAAGAGACAGCCTAAGGGTATTGCTCAGAAAATATTTCAGAAAAAATGTCAAAGACGATCAAAATCCGGTTGGACTCCAAGGACTCTAATTACAATCGGCATGATAGCTATGCCTCTTTTTTTTTTTTTTTTTTTTTTTTCAAAATGGGCCCAGTGCCCAAGGCTGATATTATCAATAACAAGATTGAGGCCGGGGTCCTCACAGTCTGCCCGGAATGAACATACGGAAACCGCTAATGATGACCATCTAGATAATGATGTTAATGAGAATGATGATTCAAAATATGAAAAATTAAAGAAAAATATGCTATATCAGCTATTTTGGCCTCCTAATCCTAGAACAACTCCCAGCCCTCCCTATATCAGGTCACTGTACCTCAAAGACGAAACCAACCTAACTAATTGTCAACCATAGCTGATCTCTTCTCGCTTCATTTCAGCCCCCCCTGGTTCACTGCTAGACTGCCTTCCACCCTCAGCAAACCCCAGATCTCTCTACAAGGCCTCACGCTCCTGCTATTAACAGGTTACAGGGCAACGCCCCAGCTCCGGCCAGCGTCGTTCTGGCATCAGCAAACCAAGGGCTCAGAACAGAGCAACTCAGTTGAAATCAGTCCAGGTTCAACCATCTCTGAAGTCCTATATCCCGAATGTGGAAGAATGCTAGATGCTGCCAAAAACTTCAGAACACCAAAAAGCTTAATATTACAATAATCAGATGATGAAACTAATGGTCTGATGATGATGATGATGATGATGATGCTATATCAGCTATTCTGGGCTCCTAATCCCGGTACAACTCCTAGCCCTCCCTATACCAGGACACTATACTAGAGAGACAGAAACAACCTGACCAACATCAACCATAGCTGATCTCTTCTCGCCTCCTTTCAGCCCCCCCCGGTTCACCACTGGAATGCCTTCCACCCTCAGCAAACCCCAGATCTCTCTACAAGGCCTCACACTCCTGCTATTTACAGGTTACAGGGCAACGCCCCAGCTCCGGCCAGCGTCATTCTGGCATCGGCGAATCAAGGGCACAGAACAGAGCAACTCAAAAGACATCAGTCCAGGTTCAGCCATCTCCGAATACCTATATCCTGGATGTGGAAGAATACGAGATGCAGCCAAAATTTCATAACACCAAAAAACTTAATATAACAATAATCAGATGATGATAGCCGAGAATTTCAGCACACCTCCATTTTCTCCATTACCCTATCTCTCCCTTTACTCTAATCTGTCCCCGCTGGGATTTGATGCCCAGCCCAGAAAAGAGTATTCCTCACAATCTGCCCATACCCCATCCAGGATTCCACCTCCCTCCTAATGAAACCCCTGCGGGGCCGGGCTCTCCCCTACCCCCTCACCAAATTGTCATTCCACTTGGATTTTGTTGGAGGCRAAGGATAGCGCCCTGAAGATAATGATAACGGAAATGATGATGATGATACGAAAAGCGACACGAAGCCTTGAAGAGTAAAATCTACTGATAACAAAAAGATATCGATAAGGATGATGATGATGATGATGATGATGAAGATTAACCAATGATGATACTCATGATGATGATTATGATGATATCAATAATGCTGCTGCTGCTTCTGCTGCTGCTGCTGATGATGATGATGATGAAGATGACGATGATGATGATGATAGTGATGATGATGAAGATTAATATGATGATGACGCACCAATGAAGATGCTCATATTGATGATGATATGTCAGTTATGCTGATGATGATGATGAAGATAATGATGATGATGATGTTGATGATGATGATACTGATGATGATGATGATGATTATGATGATGATGACGAAGCTGATGATGAAGATAATGATGACTCACCAATAAAGATTCACATAATGATGATGATGATGTCAGAAATGCTGCTACTGCTGCTGATAATGCTGATGTTGATGCTGCTGCTCCTCTCTGTCCTTCTGTTGCCCGGCACTCCCGCTGCCACGTTCTTTCCACCTCGATGCTGAACATGAAGATGATGGTGATGATGATGCTGTTGATGATGGCAACGGTGATGACTAATCTCGTTACTGATGATGATGAGCAGTTGACGAAATGGATTATCTCCTCGAAGCCCTCCCATTCACTATCCCCTGACAATCCTCCTCCCACTCCACGGGACACACTGTACTCTTCTTCTTCTCGTGCCGAGCCGACCTCCTCCACCTAAAGTCGCAAGATGAAGAGCACTAGTGATTACTCCTAGAGTAGTGCCCAAATAAGCAGTACCCTCCTTCATCCGGCATGCTATCCTGTAGCATCACTCGTTTGAAGCGCAAAGTAGAGAGATGGCAGTAGACCTGCTTTCAAAAGTCAGGAAACAGCAGGTGTTGAGGTTGAAGGTTTAGATGTCATTCCATCCCCCCGTCCTCCTCATCGCCCGACACGCTCGAATTTCATGGCGCGCCCTAAAACTTCGATATCTCATGATCCGCTGGACCGTTTGGTCTGAAATTTGGACCACCCACCTCCTCAGCGTAGACCACTGGTGGTCCAAATTTCAGCTCAGGGCGCGGGCCCAATCGCGCGCAATCGTCGAGCGCGCGCGTGCTATTTTCCTTGCTGCGTGCAGTTATCAGGCGCGCGCGGCTCCTCTCCGTGGTGGTGACCTTGATTGGATGCTGCCGGGGCGCAGCGCTCTCGCTAACGCTGCGCCCCCGACTTCAATCCTGTGTTGTCTCGAAGGGACGCTAGCATGATAGCTATGACTAATAGCAGAGGTTTATTTAAGAATTTGTAAGTCGAATTGAGAGTATAAAATTAGGGAAATCAAAGATAAAAAACATGGATTACCTATCTAGAGAAAACTTCATGTGTACAAAGGATTAACACCGAAACTTAAGAACTGAAGGGGCTAACAATAGAATTGCATGAAAACGAAAACACACGAAACTCTGTCAATGTCATTCAACACGCCCCCTTCCCCTTCAAACCTCACCTCCTCTTTATAGGCGTTAAAGCATTCCAGCCACCTCATGACCGGCCACTCTATTCGACCATTCTTCAAAGCCGGATGATGACCCAATAGGGAGCCAACGGCCCAACAGGGAGTTACTCAATAGGGGGGCTGCCGAGCAGGGCTGGGGTCAGTCTTAAAAAGGGCTCTTAGAAGGGTAGGGCTTAAATGGCAGCTCCATGGGACATTTACAGCCCCGGGTATTCAGCAGTTATGGCCGCAGCCACAGCAACATCTGATAGCAATCCCCGTATAATGCTCTGTAACATGCTGAGACACGCTCCACCCAGGGTAGATAAGGGTTTAACGAGGGTTTTGGGCCCAATAGGGAGCCAAGGGCCGGACAGGGAGTCACTCAACAGGGGGGCTGCCGAGCTGGGCTGGGGTCAGTCAAAGAAAAGGGGCTCTTAATGGGTTGGGTTTAATTGGCAGCTCCATGGGATTTTTAGAGCCCTGGGTGGTCAAAAGATATGGCCGCAGCCACAGAAACAACAGATAACAATCCCAGTGTGTCATGTCATGTCATTTTAAAGGGGACGCTGGACCCGGTTTCCAGCAGGTGTCGCTCCCCACCAATAGATGGAGGAAAAAAAAAAAAAAAAAAAAAAAAAACTATCGGACTGTGACTTACACCATCGTCAGCAATGATCCAAAACACATTGCAAGCCGAAACTGTTGGGCCTGTGAGCAGCCCCTCACACATAGTCCAGAAGAAGACAAGGGTGTCATTGTCACAGGTCACCGCACCCCAATCTTGGAGGGAGAAAATGAATGCCGAGCAGCATCATCCATTTTAAGAAGAACAATACTCCGGTCAGGCAGCTCCTCCGTGGAAATAGCCACCATCTCATACCGAGATGACCTCGCTGCTCCCCTTGTCCTCCCCCATAGCGCCACTCCACATGGCACCAATGCATGATCTCGTCCTGAGCTCTCTAATTCTATCATATTTCACGCTTTGCCCTCCCATCGTATCGCGTATCATCCCCTCGTTTCATGCTTTTCACCTCATGTCCCCATACGCCTCTATTCCCGCGCCATGTCCCCCATCACATCACCGTGTGCCTCCGCTCCCGAGCCGCTCAAGCGTGTCGTGTGCCATCGCTCTCGCACCTCCAACCCTTTTTTTTTTTCTTTTTTTTTTATGATGAACTTCTACTGATTCTATGTAAACTGTGATCATACTAATGATGATGATGCTTTTTTTTGCAATGAAATAAGTGATCCAAGTGACCCAAATCTGCTGCAAATCAGACACAGCTTCCCCCAAGGGTATTACTACTGAACTAGCTTTGTGCCTCTTTGTGCCTCTTCGCCTAATCTGGGTGCCAGAATGTCTTGAATACCAAGCACCTCCAACCCTACGTGCCGGCCCAACTCCTTTTTCCCCCAGGAAAAAGCTTCATTCTAGATACAGGGAACTAGAGGACGCATATGCCAAGAAGGGAGGTGGAGCTGCGCTAGCGCTAGCGCCCCGACGCCGGCGGACCGGTAGGGCCCGGTCACCCTGGCTCGACTAGTGCCTGGGGAGAACAGCTCCCCGGCTGTTGGGCCTGCGCACGTGCCCGATAGGTGCGAGGTGGCCTGCAGCCACGTGGCGCCTGTTGTTTGGTGACATTGACGTCCCGTGACACGTCAACAGGGGTAGCGCCAGCCGTGGGATTACAAGGGGCAAAACTGAGTGAGTGGCGCAGCTGATGGAGGGAGAGATGGATTGGGTCGGGAAGCTACAACGACAAGCAGAAGAATGGATCACCATAGTGGAGGAGGGATGCAAGCTGATGCAGACGATAGTGGGGCTGCTTATGTAACAACAGCACGAAGGGGAGGAGATCGATGGGGGAGCGAATTCGATGGAACAGTGGTTGGAAGATAGGGTTCAGGAGTTGTCAGATATCTTGTGGGAGCTGGAGGATGGGCCGGATCCCCGTCTCGGTGTCTACATCGACTGGAGGCGGGCGGATGACAGGTTGGCTGCTTGCAGAACCCTCTTCACATTGGGGCGAGATCTACACAATCAGTTGGAGTATCGGTATGGATTGCTGGCAGATGAAGATGATTGCAGCGAAAACATAAGTTACAGCGACATCAACGATAGGGATGGTGTCAACAATGACAATGATGGGGGGGCCGACGTCCACGGCTGCAGCACAATGGGAGAGATACAACAGGTGGACACGAACTCGGAAGATAATGGAGACGTCAACAACAACAACAACAACAACAACAATATCAACTACAGCAACAACAACAAAAACAATGGTGTGCAGGGAGTGGGGTTGGGTGAAATGAGCAAAGGGGATGTGAAGGTTGACAGTAACATCAACAACGATGGCGAGAACAACAATGACGACCACGCCAACAACAACAACAACAACAACAACAACAACCACCACCACAACAACAACAATAACAACAACAACAACAACAACAACATGAAGGCGGAATTGAGAGAAGAACAGGTGACGAACAGTGGTGATGCCACGATTGATAGTGACGAGTATAAGGGGGCAGATGGTGAGTGGTGGGTTGACCTAATGTCGCTTTCTTATCAGCTCGTTGCAAAGAGGGCTGTTGTCGGAGATGAGAGGAAACATGCCTTCGATGAGGCAGGAGAGGGGGAAGTGGCGTTGGGGTTAATGGCAACGACGACAGCAGCGACGGTGACAGCAACGACAAATACAGAAACTAATACAGCAATGACATCAACAACAATAACAACAACATCAACAACAGTAACAACGACATCGATCGACGTCGAAGCGGCTGAGATGGCGACAGCAGAAACACCAATAACAACAACACAAGCAACAACAACAATGATTGATGCCGACGGTGGTGCTTATCCTCATCACGGCATCGGCGACCATGGCGAGAGGGAAGATACCACTGATGAGGCAGATGAGTGCGGTGTGGAATTGGGGCTAATGGCAACGGCGGTGGTGACAACAACAACAACGGCGAAGGCCAGCGTCGCCACAATGATAGCAGAAGAACTAAAGCTAATAATAACAACAGCACCAGGGAAGTGGGGGGCAGCTAGCAACTTGGTTGGGCTGGCGAGGTGGGAGTTGTGGTTGAAGGTGAGAATTATCGATCCTTCCCAGTCCTACCCGGTGTTTCATCACGTTGATTCGTCTTTCATTTTTTGGCACGGGGTGGGCGTAGGATAGATGACCTCCCCCTCGCCCATTAGGATGATTGGCTCTCAACCCTCATGCCCTCATCTCTCAATCATGTTGTTCGTCCCGTTGGTTGGCGGCGGGCTGATTAGTGGATAGTTAGCAAGAGGTCAATCCTTTCCTGTGCAGGGAAGTAATCAATGCCCCCTGTTTGTCTCACATGATAATGCATATTGCCATGATATTGGTTGCGGGACTTGACGTTCACATTATACGTCTCTCACTATTGATAGAGCTCTGTTGTTTAGGTATGTTTAACAAAGATCATATACATCATATTGCGTTTTGGTTTCGGGTTTACAGTTTGATAGATATAGAATAAATGAGTGCATTGCCATCACACTTAGTAACGTGGAGCGGGAGAATAGTACGTTGTTTGGCGCCTAGTGGCCGCAATTGTAGTGATCAGCCATCTTCGCTTGATCGTAAGCTATGGTCGATCGACAACATTTTTCTCTTTCGTACGGGACACATTGGTCCGGCAAGCGGAGAATTGCGTTGTGACACATGGAGGATTACGCTGCGATGTGGTGATGCGCAGTTATGAGTAATGTGTTGTCGCCATACTAAGGAGGAGCGCGGGTAAAATTCCATCGCATTCTGCTATGGTCGACCGACACTATTTTCTTCGTTCGGGACAAATTGGTTCGGCACGCGGAGGATTGCGCTGGCATCACACTCAGTTATACGGAGGGGGAGGAGAGTGCGGTGTTTGGCGCTTAGTGGCCGCAATTGCAGTGACCGGTCATCACCGCTTGATCGCTAGCTATGGTTGATTGGCAGCATTTTCTTTTTCGTACGGGACACATTAATCCGGCATGCGGAGGATTGTGTTGCCATCACAATCAGTAACGCAGAGCGGGAGGAGACTGCGCTCTTTGGCGCCTGGTGGGCGTAATTGCAGTGGTCAGTCATCATCGCTTGATCGCCCTAGTTGCTAGCAGTTTCTTTTTGGTATGAGATGCACGGTTATGGCACGCGGGGGTTCGTTGCGCAGGTGTGGCGTCCAATTTTTTATTTATTGTCATTATTAATTCTGGAATGCTTTGATGATCCGATCACTAAGTCGTCCGCTGGGTTAAAGTCGTCCGCTGGGGTGGACGGTGAGGATTGGATAAGCTGCGCAGGTCGGACAGACATGGTCATTGTGTGATCGGGATTGATGGGAAATTGATACTGCAATTTAGATTAGCTTTAAAGAGGTTGCACTTGCTGTCATTATCAATATTGGAACGTTTCGACGATCCGATTACGAAGTCATCCGCTGGGGTGTGAGGAAGGTTGGAATTGTTGTGCAGGATTGGCAGTCGTTCACAAAGTCGTCCGATCAGGGTGGGCGGCAAGGTTGGATGGACTGCACAGGCCTTCCAGCTAAGGTCATTGAGTGATCATGATTGATTGAATACATGAATGTGTGGTTGGCGAGTCGGAAAGAGCGAATGTTATTGACGAGGAGACAATCGATCCTTGCATACGCGTGCTGGTTCACAACTAGCCACGTGGTTTTTCCTAATATTAATCATTGTTAGGGAAAGTTGAAGTCACGAACTGGGTTGAGTAAAGGTTGGATTTATCTGTTCACGACTGTTTGTCACAACAAGAGTGACTGTCAACCATAGAGTGATTGTCAGCCATAGCCACGGAGAGAGATTGTTGGAGACGTGGCTCATGTCGGGATAATCAGCAAGGAGAACGGCATAGTCACCAAGAGAGATTGGTGGAGGTGCTGCTCATGCCGAGATATCCAGTAAGGTGAACGAGGGCATACCCTTGGAGGATTTGCTGGCTACAACAGGAGGAGACTCGACAGTGGAACATTCTTTAGGGAAGTGCTTCTTTTTCCTGACCACTCCTAACTCTCATGGCTTCTCATCAACTCGAGTCCTCCCTCCTACCCTCAATTCTCAATGCAGCATGATCCCAACCTGTTCCTAACTTAAAATGATGCAATAAGGAATCTCAGAAAATATTGGATAATCTGAGATTTATTTTTTCAATTTTTTTTAATTTTTGCTTTTATTTTCCTCTTATTTAGGCTTCAACCAAATAATAATTGGAAAAGTGACACGTGTCACTCGCAATCAACGAAGTCACAAAAAGGTGGACAGCATGTTACTATTTAGAGGAGCGATTAGGCAAATTGCAGCCAAACATTTACAAACGCTTGTAAAGATGGTGTTGCATTCTCGTTTGAAAAAGCATCGCTCCTTGGATTTAAAACATGGTAACCATAATGAGTATGTGTACAGCCAAGCATTGGATCAGGTTATTTTTGATGAGGAAATCCTGACGGAGGAGGAACGTTCACAGCGGAACCGTTCGCTATTGAACCAATCCTCCTCCAGAAGCAATACCAATCAATATCAGGTCTCACCATTAGGCTCTCTGCTGCACACAAATATAAGTCAAGGAATGGTGACTATGCACTCACAAGGGAGGTCAATGATGGTGAATCCACTTTTTCATCATGATGATTCCTCACCAAGGAAAGGGGTCACGGCTACTACATTGGTAGCAACATCATAATATGGGACAGGTTACACAAATGAAGTGGTTGCACAAAAGGTAACCAATCCGTTGTATACGCCATTCCACTGGCAGGGTGAGAGATTGGAAAATCAGAGTAATAAAAGTAATCAGATGCCTGGTGGTGATCGCTTGATCACAAGGGCTATTGACATCGTGAATGAGCAGGAGAAAGATCAAGAGGAAAATAACAATGACCGAGTAATGGAAATAGAGGAGTTCCGACGCTTCAAAGGATGGAAGGGAGAAAGGGAGACAGAGGGAGGTGGGGAAGTCGAGAAGAAGGGAGTCGAGGGGAAAAAGGAAATCGAGGGAGGGGAGATAGTGGAGGGAGAGGGAGGGGAGGAAGACGTGTTGGTGTTTGGGAAATAAAGAGAGGAGGAGAGGGGGAAAGAGGGGTAGAACAAAGGGAGGAGGAAACAACAGAGATCAACGCAATCCCAGAGATCAACGCAATCCCAGGGGTTTACATGACAGGGATAGAGTTGCTGGCCTCAGTGGTCAAGGAAAATCCGAGTTCATCTTGGCTTCAGAAAGTGAAGGGTCCGTTTTATGATAAAACATTAGAAATCAAGCGCACAGGACCACGAATGAATACCCTTCAAATCCTCCTTTCCAATATCCCCACAGCCCGTGCATTTTTTCTCTCAAAGTTCATCAGTCCTTCGGAAAATCGAGTAGTCGACTCCGGGGAAAAAAAAAACGATGATAAAGACTTATCATACCCAAAGATTAGCAGAAAGAGATGAGATCTACCAAAATCATACTAATAACTGGGTGTTTCACGATGATGCAGCTTATCAGCCGAGTAATGATAAGATTAAATGAATAGGAAGACGTCTTGCATTTTTTAAAGGGAACCTGAAAGCTGTGAATGAAGATTTTCTTATACAACCCATTTCATTGTCTGTGTTTACAGTACTATGTTTACACACGGATGACAAGAAAGCAATTGATTTGCGGAAAAAACTCCATTGTGATCGTTCTGAAGTTAGGATATATCCTGGTCTCTACAGAAGCAAGGTCCGGATGAAAGACGACGTCGGATGATGGAATATTATTTTTGGGTGGATTTCAGACACATCCCAATAAAGATTCAAGCGGCGTTCATCAATGATTTCGGTGAGATCTATGACATAGTGGATTTCATCTATCCCCTTCCGGCATATTCGGCCAGGCGTGACGACTATCTAATGCTAGCTTTGGATCATCATTTTAATCAACCTTTCAAAATGAATGATATTATACCTTATAGGATTGGTGGAAGGGAATATCGCATACACACGACACATAAACTTCGTCCTTGGTGTTTCAGGTGTAAAGCCTACAGACACCTAAATACAGATCCAACCTGTGGACAGAATCCAATGCGAAAGCAAAGAGCTATAGGGAGGTTGATTAGAGATCCCTTCAAATCCAACCTATGACGTACAGTAGACCCGGGTCATGAGGGATGGGTTTATGTTGAGAGTTCCACCCGAAATGGTTCTCCTAAAGGTTGGACGTGGGAAAGGCACGGAGAGCCAAATTTGGAAATTAAACCTCCGGATAATTGGACTCCGCTAGAAGCTACGATCACGACAGTCAGAACAGGAAAAACAGGCGGTCAAAGCAGCCAGGAAGTACCTCGCAGCTCAAGGGTGGAACATACCATTCACCTCCCTGGTGCGGGGCGATCGGACCAGCCCAAGACACAGTCTCAAGGGGAGGTTATACATGTTCAATTAAAACAAAAGTCGTTAGGACAAGATCCCAAAAATTATATGCTTCCAAAGGGGGCACCAGAAAAGAATACAATGCAACAACAGGAGAAACAATAGAAATCTGAACTCAGTGTTCTTACAATTGAAAATACAACATCTGCAATGGATCTGGTCTCCCCTCCGGGAGTAACTGATCCGGAAGACTTTTCGGATCAAGATGGAAAAAATAATAAAAAATGTAATCAACCTATAGTCCGCGGGAAAGGACTATGGCGAAAGCTAAAAAAATAAAAATAAAATCATGATCCTTTCAAGGACTCTTTTGGTCCAGTCCCAATGGACGTTGATTCACAACAACCTACCGATGCTCCAATGAGAGATGCATTCCCACAATCAACAGGGGAAGGTCAATCAGAGATCCCACTGGATCAGAAAATAATACAGTTAGCAGATTCGTTAATTGAGAGACTCAAAATTACATTTGGAACTGCTTTGGTGGAATTTGGGACCTCTCTTTTTTGCAACTTGTTAATATGTTGAATGGTAATGCGAGTTTGAGAAAGGTGTTGCAACAAGGGTTACCGACAGGAGCTTGCTGGACTGTAGTGAGCCAGCGGATGTTACAAGAAGTGGAAGCACTATTCCACCCTCCTTCCCCTCAGTCGACGACTGAAGATTCAGAGGTGGAAGAGCAGCATAACGCGATGGTTCCAGCTGATCCAGTTGATCTTGCGACTCAAAGGAATGGTTCTTCTAATCAGGAAGAGGAAACCTAGTTGCTGGTAACGCAGTCTTCTTTTGTTGAACTACCGGAGGTTACCCCCTCTCCTCCAAGGGACTCTTGGTTATCATTATCAAAGGAATAAGGGATTAACTTAAAGCAGACCAAAGACAATCAAGGGAAAAAAAAGGGATGACAGTTTGAAGGTGATGAAGACTCGGGAAATCAACAACAGAGTCCTCAACAACTCCAATTGCAGCCGCAACTGTCACAAAAGTCACATACTATGTTACATCCCCTTTCTTTAGACTTTACACAACAAATAACATCTGCTGATATGATTGTAGTGAATGATAAAAATTTGTCATCTCAAGAACATCAACATCAACAGTCATCACAACAGGAGGAACAACAAAAGTAGGTGCAGCAGCAGCAGCAGAAACAACCTCTAGCCCTGCAGTCACAAAGTACAAAGTCTCTCAAATCCCTGGTCTCCTTCTCTCCTCCACTTGCACAGGAGGCTGGTAAGAGATTAAAATTGAGACAAATTTTGGAAAAATGACAAATCAATAAGTCACAAATTCAAAAAGGCAATTTTATTATCCAGTAAGAAAAAAAAAAGAAAATGAAAAATTGGTCTTTCTCCAATTGGGCAGGATCAGTATGGTGCGGTTACACTAAGGGGGTGGTCATCGTATGTGGAATATCAAAGTGTGGGTGATCGTCAATTAAAAAAGGATCTTAACAATTTCCTTTCTAAACATTTTGACCCGGGTCCTCACGCTACCATTACGGAATCCGGGGAGAAGTCCCAGATGGCCAAGCGGGACATTTTTGTCAAATTTGAGGAACACAAGGAAGTTTGACTGAAGTGGTATATACACTTGGTCTTGATGGATCTGCAACACTTGAAATGTAAGGCCAATGCAGTCTGGACAGACTTAGAAGTCGTAGTTTTTTTGTGTTTCATCCTTCGCAGAGGAATCCTACAAGTTTTCTCTGAGTTGGATAAGGGTAATTGGGTGTGCTTGTAAAAAAATAGTTTGGGATATGGAGTGGCGGCTAGATAGTCATGGAGGCTCTTCACGCACATTATGGGAAAAACCCCTCCTGACACCTCGCAACCAAATCAGCGGACTTGGATCTTAGATCTATTAATGTCAATGGTTTAGCAATAACAAATGTCGAAAAAAAAAACACCTTAATGAAATAGTTCAAAGGTGTAGGGGGACATCATTGACCTGACGTGATATGTATTCAAGAAACGCATTTACTGGATTTTCCTACACATGTAAGAACTCACAACATTGTAAGGCCTTTTCAGAAAGTTGTTGCCCATGCTCCAAGAAGTGGGTCAGGGGGAGTCGCGATCTGGATCCCACCGGACTCTAGGGCAGAAACAATACATTGGTCAGCAGATAAGGAACAGGGATGATGAATTTCAGCTTTGGTTATGCTAGAAATTGAAGTAGTTTGTGTCATAAATATCTATGCTCCTAATGAGGTGCAACAAAGGGTAAGTTTTTTTCAAGACATTAGAGCTCATATTCCAAATGGAATCCTGATAATCATGACAGGAGATTCTAATGCAGCCCCAGACAGATGGCTAAACCGAAGGAAGATACTTGCTCCTTACCCAACATATATAGAAGTGGATGAAAAGATCCTAAGTAGACTTTGTTCTTCTGAACATCTGTACGATACATATAGAATGATTTTTCATCGGGAACGTCTTTTACCTGTATTCGTAACAGTGGATCCCCTTATCATTCCAAGTCACGAATTGACCTGATTCTTATGTCAGAAGATCTGGATCGTGCTCTAGTATGGGCAGCGATCTTCCCTCAGAGTCCATGGCCAAGAGCGGATCATAAAATGTGCGAGATTTTGTTGTCATTTCGTAAAAAAAGAGATCAAGGGAGGGGTTTCTACAAATTAAACACTTCATTGTTGTCCTAATCCTCATTCAGATGTTACATACAGGATGTATGAGAATACTGGTATACCACCAAAAATAGACATGACTTTTACACAGACTGGTTTAACAATGGCTTGGTCTTTATAGCCAAGAAATGTAAAGAATTTTCTAAGCTTCAGGCTAAAAATCGACATCTTCAAGAGATGAGCATTCAATAACAAATCCTAAAGTATGAATTAGAAGATCAACCTGATAATTTTCAACTAGTCTACATACAAGATCTTAGAAAGCAATTTTTGGACTTTGCTCAACACCGTTGGCAAGGACTGTCGATTCGAGGAAAGTTAACCAAATTCTTGATAAAAGGTCAAATGGATTTCTCTTATTTTGCCCTAGCACATGCTCGTGCTAGGCGTTCAAGTATCGAAGGTTTTTCATATCCTTTTGATAAAGATGATCTTTCCTTTTCTACTTCTTCTGCGGGAAGTTTAAAGATTGCTTATAATTTTTAAATTGATGGAGAGCCGTGTGCTTGGAAATCTTGCACACACGGTTCGGAGAGAAGCTTAGTCAGATTACACACACTGCTTACCCTATCTATTGGGTCGTTGGTTCGAATCCAACCTAGGGAGCTATTCTATGTTTTCAAAAATCTTTTTACATCGTTTAAAAGATTAGAGGGACGGATGAAAGATGAAGAAGCCATAAACCGTTTTCTTACTCCAATGTCACGGTCACTCTTCCAGTCCCAAAGGGAGCACTAAGAAAAATCAGTAACTAAGGAAGAGATCTGGACAACCTTACTTCAGATTGAAGAAGACAAAACACCGGGGATATATGGTCTTCCTAAAGAGTTCTGGGAAACTATGTGGCCCACCTTCTCCTCCAACCTGATGATTTTTTTTGTCAAAGTCCAGGAATCAGGATGTATGTGGGAATTTGTGAGCCAAAGAGTTTTAACTCTTCTATATAAAAAAGGGGATAAAACTAATATTAAAAATTATCGGCCTATTACCCTTCTCACTGTGGTCTAAAAAATGTTGGCTAAAGGATTGACAAATCGTCTAATTCCATTAATGACTGATATTATTCACCCTTCCCAAACGAGATTCATCAATGGCAGACACATCCAAGATAACATTTTGTTAATTAACGAAACAGTTAAACTTGTTCGTCAGTCTAAACAGAATGTTGCTTTTGCTTGCATAGACTTTGAGAAAGCCTATGACCATGTAGATTGACGTTTTTTTTATGTTTGCCTCAATAA